AGAGTTTGATATTGAAATATCTATATTCAATGTAAATAAATAATTACTTTATCTTATTTCTTTTTTGAAATATTATATAATGTCTTTACATATGTTTTATTCATTTAAACAGCCTAAAAGATATGATGAAATGGTTATTGGCAAGTAATTTAGCTCATTCATAACTACAAATCAGTTACTGATATCAACTAAGATTCTCTGTACTTTCTGTCGTATTATCATACTTATAATTTTGAGTTTCACTCGTTATTACCATTTTTGATCTCAAGAATAAAGAAGGAAAAAAAGGATAAAAAACAGAAGGAAGCAAATGTGATCTCTGCATTAATCTCAATACAAGTGTTGCATGTAAAACCAAGAAAAGAAAAGAAAAAGTTTCAGCATGAAAAGATGGATATTTGGTTTTTGAAAATTTAGGCTTTTGGCATATGTGAAGCTATTGGCCATGGTTTGCCTTTTGTTTTAGTGGCCTCTTAAGTTGAAAACAAGAGTCTTGCAACTGATCTGGTATAGTTTAAAATTTGCATTGAAATAATTAATTTTGATGTTGTAAAGGCTGTGACGGATAAAATGATTGATAGATATTGATTGCATGCCATTCAAGAGTGATCCATTAAAACTACATATAGATATTTTCAGTTTCAAAAGATTAAGTATAGGTCACATCAACATAATTAATGTTAGGTTATCATAATCAAAATTGATCGTAATAAATTTAAAGATATATAGACTTGATTTTTAAAAGTTATTGTATAAAGATTAAATTTAAAATACAAAATTACTTATAACATAAATGATATGTTACGTAATTATTATTATTATATTTATTCTTTATATGAGCAATCTCATAAAATTGATTACAAACCATAATATAACAGCAAAAGAAAATAGTGTAGTAAGGTCAGCATAACAAATTACTGTAACATGAAAGTATACTTTCATAAGACTTGAATTTATGCTTCTTATAGACTACTAATGGTTATACTAGAGTATGATTCACATGTTATACATGGACTAAATAGAAGATACTCATGCATACAATTTGTGTAAAATTCATATCTCTATAACTCATGTGAATAATTGCAAACTCTAAAATTAACATATGATTAAGTCAAGAAGTTTTTTTGAAACTTTTAAGAATGTTATTGATAGTTTACCCTTCAAATAGCATTTATCGTATAAAATATAACACACTTGATTGCAATTTTTCTTGATAAAGAAAAGGAAAAACAAAAGTTGGATAAGTCTGAGCGAAATTACAAAAGAGAAAAAACAAATGGATTGGTAAGTCTAAGGAACTAGCAGCGGCTCGTGAGGAACCTTGGAGCCTTAAACTTTGAAAGCTCTGAGGTTTGACGGTCGTTTGCTACAAAATGGAGAGTTGATGGTGTGTGAACGTAAGAACATGACAACAAGAACAAAATGGAATTATGAATTTATGATTGGCTGTTGTTTTTCAAATTGTCCGTTCAAACCGTATCAACTGGAATTTTGACCTCATCCATTCAGAACAAAATGGATGGGTGCCAAATTTTTCCTTGAATTGTCCCTTTAGCTAAATAAAGGCAGCTTAACACACGTCCGTTTCGCTTGCATTCGCAAAATATCCCCCTTCTATTGGAAGCAAAGGAGCCAAATTTCATTTTTAAGCTCTCCAAAATATGATAGTTGATAGGACCAGACTGCCCGAGTATGTCATGGCTACTATGTCCATGCTGTTTTCTTGGTTTGAATGTTTCTTTGAGAAGGACTTCCTGGAGACGAATATGACTGCACAAACAAACCCTACTTACCTCCAGAATTGAAATTAATGCAAAATCTAACTTTCAAAATTTGTCACAGTTTGCCTTGATATTTATGTAATGCCTTTGCCCTTGGTTTATATACCAGAGAAACTACTCGGGGGGCTCCAGCTATTTATCACGACAACTCATCTATGGTCGTAAACATTTCATTGATCTCATCCAAAATTAGGATTGTTGACTTTAAATCGTCTACCTCTTTTGAGTGAAATAAAGGGGCAAAAGGCCAAAAAGTTTGGTTGGTCATTTTTATTCTATGTTATTTGGGCAAACTGCAAGTTTGTAAATCCATCAAAGTCCGGAATTTCATACTTTCCTGATATATCAGGAATAGATTGGTTACTCATTTGACCATAAGGAATTTGCAGTTGCAACTCTAAGTTTGATGCTTTCTTTCGTGTTGGTCGCTGGTTGATGTCAAATGGGTACTCTGTTTTATGCAAAA